CAAAATTAATCCTTTCTGCCGTAATCAAACACTTCACATCCCTTATGTAAGCATAAAATTTGAGGTAAAGAAAGTGAACTTCATGTATTTTGAATGAGAGAATCTCAATTTATACCATTTCCCCCCCCCGATTATGCAAAAATCAAAGAACAAGGCTATTCATGTGTATATTTTTAATGATGGGTCTCAGAAGGACAAAGAAATTGAAGTGTTGGATCTGTCAACAGTTCAGAGATTGAAGCACATTGGTTTGTAAATTCATCACTGTGATAACTCCACTGAAAAACTAGTTTATATTAGAAACAAATTTATTGCAGTAACTGATTCGATTTCCAGTACCACCTGTCTCTGTCTCTCTGTGTTTTTTTTTAATAACAGCTCTTAATCTCTACTGTTCACTAATAAAAATATTTTAATAAGAGATAATAGTGTAATCCAAATGCCTATAGGTGCTTGAATCAACTATCTCTGCCTATGTAATTGCTAACACTTTGTTCAACCCTTTTTAAAATTGGTATTAAATCTCATTCTCATTTTCTGTATTAATAGAACAAGAATTCATTTTTAGTGTACCCTCAAAGCAGTAATGAGCATTGTTAACATGTAACAACAATGCCCAAGGGGAAAGTTTTCGAAGCCGGTCTAACCTTAAGGCTTTGCTATTGATGTACTACAGAGTCATCAAGCCAAGAGCTGTTAGAGCTAGTCCATTTGGAGAGTTCAGCGGAATATTTCTGCTTAATTATATTGGAAGAATTATAAATGGTTTAGGTGGTGACCTAGGGAGAAGGGGGAATTTTTGTTTAATAGCTTAAGAACAGAGGGGCAACATTAAAAAAGTAACTATACCTCCTGCTCATTTTAAAGTGTATCACATTGTGCTTTTGTTCTGATGATTTTGCTTCCATACAGATTTTCATAGAAGGTTAATGAGGAAGCATTAACAAGGCATGCGGTATTGCACATGGGCAGGGGAGCTGAAACGTAGTTATTTAGTTATAAACAAACAATAGATGTTACTTTTTAATTGCTTTTTCAGAAGCCCAATTCTGCCTTCTTGAGGAAGTATTATCTATCTTATTAAATTCAGAATATTATCCTTATTTTCTTTATTGTGTATAGCCAAAATAAGCTTGCCTAAAGCAGTAGTGCTTCACTGATTTCAACTGAATGCCGTGGTCACAATGAACCAGTCAAGACCCTATAGACTGGAAGTCCTGTATGAGTTGTAGTCCTGCAAAATGACCTCCTTGAGTGCTAGACTTTGAGACTGAGTCTTAAGGTTACCTAAGGTAGCAGAAGTGGCTTCAGGAGTCTCTATTTGGGGTACAAATTAAGAGGCTCAAGAACAGGGTATTACAGCGGTGACAAAGAATAACATAATTTTCATTGCAATTTTTGAGGCCTTGGTGTCATTACTGTGAAAAGTATAAGGGTGCATTTTAGATGATGGTTGAATGTTTCGACAGAGACCGATTCACACACTGGTCCGAAATATGAAATTCTACTGGGGAAGCAAGTGTAGAAATGTTCTTTTGTTGGAGTTGAGTTTGTCTATGAAATGAATGCATAAATTGTTGTTATTTAGCCATTTTAATTCCCAGCACTTGGTCATACCACTGCCCTTTCCTTGGGTATAAGCTAAAGGTTATCATGTCCTAAAACAACTAAATATGACCAGGCAGGTTCAATAATGTCAAAACGAAAAAATAATGGAAATCTAAGAAAAGTTCTGTGCATTTTATATTTCTCTCAATTTTTTTTTTTTTTTTTTTTTAAATGGGGAGGTAATATAGGAGTTTTCTTACTGGTTAAATAGGATTCAGACCCTTGCAATTTCATAAGCTACTTGTTTTTCACTTTAGAGCTGGGCCTGATGTTGCTTTTCAGTAGAATAGTTGGTTTGTGTTGTAGGAAGGAACTTTTTAAGAGGGTACTTTAACAAGGGACCTCTTATAAGTTTTTATTTAATGTTTGTTTTTAATTCTCAAAATGAATTTAATAGAGGTGAGATGTTGAATCTGATAACAGGAGGACAGAAGTTTGTACAAAGCATGAATGAAGGCTTTATAGGTTTACTTCCACTCTTCCTTCCAGATTACTCCACACTATACTGTGTGCTTCACTCTCTTGAGGTAAATCTGTCCCTGAACTGAGAATAAGGCTTGCATTTGAAATTCCATCTATTTCATTTATCATCTCAAAATACAGCTTTCTCCTGGGCTGTTGCATCGGGAAATTCATTCCCCATGCTTATTTAGTCATCGTCTGCTTCGCATGCATTGCCAAAAAGGTGGGTGATGGCAGTACTGCGAGGAGGAGCCACGGCTTCCAGCACGTTTCGCAGTGACCGCTGAACTGGCGTAAGATGGTACAGCTTCTTGGACACCATGTTCTGCAGCTATTCCATATAGTCTGGTTCTTGCGATTCACTCTGTGGACCTCCACAGAAGGCTGAGAGCTGTGTGAGGTAGTGATTTCCTTTGCTTTTCAGGGTAAGGATTCTGTTGGAAAATCTTCCCCAGATGCTGAAAGAAATTTCTGGGAGACTCGGTCCTCAACACGCTAGTCCCTGTATGGCCTATCAGTATCTCAGTTGGTTCAGGACTACTGAGTGTCCAAACTGTGTTACTTTTACCTTTGCTTGTGGACTAGACATATTCTCTGATATCTACAGATTAGCAGCAAGCTTAAACCTTTCCTGCCCAATGGCTGTTTGACTTGCTTTTGTCTTTTTCCCATAGTTGCCTCAATTTGTTTTGTCATTTTTTTTCAACAGGGAGCCAAAGAAAAGGAAAAGCTTTCCCTAGACCTGCTCTGTCATCACCAGAGTCCGATTATGTTTGAGCTGTTCCCTAGTCATGTATCCTATTTCTTAAACAACTGTTGCCCTTCTGATATATTAGTTCATACATAAAGCTGGCTTGGTTTTCCTTGAACTGCCTGCTACTGTTCTTCTGTAGTTCACACAGACGCTTGCTCCTTTCTCCCTGATGGATTTAGACTTCTTTTGAAAGAGTGAATGGATATGAGCTTCAACTGATAAATACATGCATTTGAATCTGTGACTGATTTGTAGCTGGATTGTTTTTGATGACTTTTATCTGTAGTTGATTTGCATCTATTTGGCTTAGAATCACTGGGGGTAACACATAGAATAAATGAATAAATAAATTTGAGGAAGAGGCAAGGAGAGAACAGATGAATGAATGGATGATAGAGAAAGAGAGGGAGACTAAACAGAAAGGGATGGATAAATGGTGATTAAGAATACAGAAAAATAAGGAACAAGTAGTGATCAGAGTAGAGAAAAGAAATAAAAAGGATTCAAAACTGAAAAGACTAGAAAGTCTGAAAAGAATAGAAAGAGTGAAAAAGAAATAAGGAAGAACTTGGTGCCTGATTACACCTAAAAGAGCAGAATTGGGTTACTTTTAATTATGTGAAAGGGCTAAGATTGTGCACCAGGGAAGGGAAGAGTTTATACTGGGAACCACAGGACAATGCCCGAGGTTGTCTGAGACTCAGAGCAGTAAATCTTGCCCAGTTGATCAAGTTAAGTGTTTTGCTGCAGGGCTTATGTACTCTGAACTCAATAGCAGTGTCCTCCTACCTTTTTCACAGCTCCATGTGGAATACTCCTGTAATGAATCCTCATTTTCCTCTTCCAGACTTGATGGCTTGGGTTAGCATTTCTTTATGCCCTCGAATCTGACCTTTGTTCTTTCATCAGCATGTACAATTAACTAGAAAACAAGAGCGAAACAACTAAGCACCACTAACAAGACTTCTTAGACTAGTCATATTGAAGCCACCTTGGTTTTTTTCCCACCCACTACCATGTTCGTGCATGTTAACCCTTGTCACGTTGCATCTCAGAGGCTCTGTTAGCAGCTGCAGGCAGGGAGCACTGATGTTCAGAGTTACACATTACACGTGTTCTGCACAGCACAAATAATACATAGCATGAGTCTCTGAAACGGATACTGTGACCGAGGAGGGAAAGCCTTTCTTCCTCCATTACCTGCTCTCTCAGGCTTCTGACTTGTATTTGGTTTCCTCTCTATCCACAAAGCAGCAACAATTGCTGCTTCTCTTGCCCACCATGTTTATTTTCTCCACTTTTTATTTGGAGGTCGAGGGAGCTTCCAGGCACTGACAATTTCCCCATTTTCTCTCTGCTTTTGACCTCTATTAAACTCTTACTATAGTGCTTAACTTTAAACAGATGACTATGATCGTAAGTATTCACATGCTAATAATCAAATAGGTGTTTAAAGTACCTTTCTGGGTTAGTTCTGAAGAGCAGAATGTTCCCCAGTGGGCAGCTATTCCACAAAGACAGCTCTGCATCTGTCACAGAAAGGGTTCTGGGTCTATGCTGGAGCTTCCAGTTGCCAATGGACAGTACATTACCATGGATATGTGTGTATTTCTGTTGACTGTAGTGGTTCCCCAGAACCCAACTGAGGGTGGTCTCTCACGGTAAGTGCTAAACAAAATTTTGGCGTTCCCTGTCTGAGACACCTCACAGCCTATGCAAACAAGGCAAGCATAGCCAGGGAGAGAAAGAAGCATAGAACGGTAGCAGAGAGACCATCCCATCAAACATCATATGAATTTCACAGGCATCGATGCATATTATCGGTGGAGATGTTGTTATCCCTAAGTCATCTCAGGAAAAGGAAGATTGCCCAGTGGCTCAGGCAAACCGTGAAGATTAGCTTTTGTTCCTTGTTTTGAATCCCTGGACACACAGGACACATTGGGACATTTCTCATGGTGACGTCTGTCATTCGTCCCCTGAGGAATGAGTCACAAAAAGTTGGGATGACAAGTCTTGTCTTGAAATATACCAGTGTGCTAAATAAAAAATACCCGTCAGAAGGAAAATATATCATCTGCAGTGGGAGAAGTTTGGGGAAAATTACTGATTTATTGATGATGTCTCTCTCTCCCTCTGCCTCACCCCAAACCCATTTTTTTGTTTGTTTTCACAGCAGTTGTATGCTGCCCAACTTGCTGCGATGCAAGTGTCTCCAGGAGGCAAGATACCTGGCATACCCCAGGGTAACCTCGGTGCTGCTGTGTCCCCTACCAGCATCCACACAGACAAGAGCACAAACAGCCCTCCACCCAAAAGCAAGGTACCGTGCCAGGCCCTGCAGCATTGCGTTTCTGACAGTGTGGGTACTTGCATGTGGTTTTGTTTCTTCTGAAGGGTATCTGTGTGCCTCTCAGTTGGAGAAAGCTTTGTTCTCAGGGTGGTTTCCTGCACTAGGAGGATCTTCGTAGTGCCATTTTTCCACTGGGAGAACCCCAGCACAGTAATACCAAACCACCATTCTCACACGATGTCAGTCACAGACACCACCTTCGCTGAGGTCCCGTGGCTTCCCTTGCAGTGCCCTGGCTATCCCACTGCTGTTTCTTCCATCTTCAGTAGCAGGTTGCAGGCTGAGGTGACCAGCTCCTATTCCAGCACATAACACGTTTCCTTTCAGGATGCTAAACCAGAGTCAGGTTAGCAGTGTGTGAGCGAGAGATGGGAAGCAGTGGGGCACCTCATCTGTAGCCAGATCCTGTCCTGGCTTCAGTGGGAGTTTGTGGAGGAACAAGTCTCCACAGCAGTGTCTGCTGTGTCACGGAACAGGACTGGTGTCCATCAAACGATGGGCTCTGATGAGTAATTTTCGTCATAGCTGGGCAGTTAGGTCCATACTCATGTAGGAGGTCAAGTTAGCAGCTTGTAGTCACATCAGCGTAATGCCACCAGTGTGTGACTAGTTATACCTAGAAAATAGACACAGAGTATGTCCAGCAGAGGATGAGCTCAGTCTATGCCACAGCTGAGCAAAATTAATGGGTCAGAATTGAATGGCACATCTTAGGTGTTGCAAAACTACTAGGAAGAGTTTATTTAAGGAATGCAGGGGAAAAGCAGTCCCATTTAGGTGATAGCAAGAGCTTTGATAAAAATGTGTCCTATCTTTTTGCTGGTGTCCTCTAGCATGCTGTTCATGTCCTTTGTCATGTCAGAAAAGATTCCTTAAATTGACAGTAGTGTCTTAGTTTTACCTTAACAGTAAAGCAGTACAGATTAAAAATAACCAGCCAAATAAATAATGCCATTGTCAGCTCAGTGAGATACGTGTTCAAAGCATAAAATAGATGGTGTGGAACCAGTAGCTGTTGTGTTAATGAATCAAGCTCTGGGTCTATGTTTTCTTTCTTCTCTTCTCAATGCAGACTTTCTGACTTCCCGAAGCTTATCCTGAGCTTGGCCTCTTTTCTATACTGTAGAGCAAGGAATCACAAAGCCATGCAGTGCTCGATGATAGGGTTTTGGGGTTTTTTCCAAAAAGTCATGTCTATGGTTAACAAGAGATTTCTGTGCATTTTACAAGGGGCTTTTGTGTGTGGCTAGCGGCTTGCTAGGTCCACTACACTTAAAATCCCAGTGTTGTTTTTGGATCTCTCGTGCACAAGCAGAATGTCTGATGAGATCTAATGGGACACAGTATTTATTTTGTGGCAATTGTGGAATTAGAAGGCCTGCCATATCTACCAGTAACATCAAGCATAACCGGTCTTACTGGCAGCTGTCAAGATCGGCTCTGTTCTCCCTTGTGTTTTATTGCTTTTCGTATTTGTAGGTGTTCCAGTGCCTTTGGCTTGCAGTTCTGTAGGACACAAACAAAACTTATTTGCAAATTGCAGGGAGGGGGAAAAAAAAAAACGGGCTGAAAGGAAAGGAAAGGGGCTCCAAAAAGCTGTAAAATTGTGCAGCGTGAGCCCTGTGATGCATGCTGTTTTCAATCTGCTGTGTGCCAGTTGGAGGCTCAGAGAGAGAGCGAGAGAAAGAGACGGGATAATGCTGAGAAATGATAGAGTGGCTGTGACCTCCAAGCTCAGCCTGGAAATCCAAGACATTGATTTCACTTA